AATTGCTTGGACTCCAGTTGGCTGACATCTCACTCCAATTAGCTATTGGAGATGTCATTAGTCTAAGGGTTCACATACTTTTTCCACCTGCACTGTGAATGTTTACATGGTGTGTTCAATAAAAACATGGCAACATTTCATTCTTTGTGTGTTATTAGTTTATGCAGACTGTGACTGTCTATTGTTGTGACTTAGATGATGATCAGATCACATTTTATGACCAATTTGTGCAGAAATCCATATCTTTCCAACGGGTTCACATACTTTTTCTTGCAACTGTATATGTGGCGAGACCAATCTCGCCACATTCAAGAAGGTAGAAAGATGGGTGATGGGCAATGGAAACTAAATGTAAACCAAGTGCAGGCTAGCCTTTGTGAATTGGACACTCCAAATCCAATAATAAACAAAAAGGTATATACGAACTAACAGGGCGCCACAATCACTAAATCTGTATATTTGAGGGGAAGAACCATATACATAAATATATCTGATATCTAGATAAAAAATAGTAATTTATTGATACAGAATTAATACAAAATTAATAAAATAACAGCACAATAGTAAGTGCTCAAACATATAATAAACAGGAACCCATAGGTGTAGCAGCTCACTAATACATAATGCTGAACTGGCCAATAAAGTGCAAATGCTAAAGTGCAAAGTATAGTATTAAAGTGTAAATACTCGAATACAAGGTACTAGTACCAAAAGTGCACCAAGCCAATAACACATTAGCATACAAATAGCCCAAAGATAAAAAAGTAGACAGTCAGCACACATAAACAATAAAGCCACAATGCAGGGTCCCAAATAATAGTCAATACTCAACGCGTTTCGTCGTCAGACTTCCTCAGGAGCTTCTTCCATCTTCCTTCATCTTCTTCCTTTTAAATCTGCCGGTCCGTCTGCCGGCTTCCGTGATTGTGCATGCGTCCATGCGTCACCACGCATAACGTCATATGTCATGACGCATGCGCAACTAAGGCGGGACGCATACAAACTTTATTGTTCATATACACAGTAGCATTAAGAGTGATCTATGAAAAGAACACTCTATAGAAATGCAAACCGGATTCACAGGACCTGCCTACCCCCCTGCTAACCCCTAAACAGAGGAATACTAAATGTACAGAGGGGGAAATATAAATCAGACAGGTGCACAAAAGGAAGAAAAATATGGAAAAAATATGATACAAAGCAAAATGAAAAATATAAAATATAAAAAAATATATATTAAGGAAAAAAGTAATAAAAAAGTAATAAAAAATGAGTCCATTTATATTTCCACATTATCCATCATAATAAAATAATATAATATACATAGACCTTACAGTGATAGATCATCTATATGATAATATCAATATAGATGTACATAAATGAAAAAAACATATCAGGATGTGGGCAAATACATAAAACATCATCTAAAATATATATGAGTAGAGGTAAATTTGAAACTGTAAATGTAAAAAAAATACATATACATAAGGATGATAATACTAATGATGAAAGATGAAGGCATATAAATTCAAATAAAGTGCAATATTCACATATACATGTCTTATTACAATATGTGATGAAAGATGAGGGCATATAAATACAAATAAAATGCCACATATAATAACATTAAATTGATCAATATAAAAATCAATATAAAAAAAAATAAAAAAATTATATATATATATATATATATATATATATATATATATATAAAAGGATAAAGTATATGTAAAAATATATGTATAAAAAACATATATATATAAAACATAAAAAGAGGTAAAAAATAAAACGCCATACAATCAGTTCCGCTTTTTCGGCTGTTGTGGGGAAAAGAGCATTGCATCTGCGTAGCTCAGCCGTAATACAAGGAATGGTCCATGACCTGATATAACCTGATAGGTGTCACCTTTTTGTGTAGGTGTAGTTGACTAGACTGGAGTACTGGGGATTGACA